CGTCTAAAAATAATAATACTCTTTTTAAGCAGAAGGGGCCCCATTTTTGACTTTGGCGCTATTTCAGCCCTTTGGGCGCCCGAATATTCTTATACCTATTAATCGTTACACATTGTTCTGATGGACTCTGGTATTAAAAAAATAGATATAGAGGTTGAAACAAGCCCTGAGACAGTTCTCAGTTCTAAAAATAAACCGAAAAAACTCACCAGCCGTAAGGAAGAGGATGAAGAAGAAGAGGAAGAGGAAGAAGAAGAAGATAAGATTATCGAGAAGTCTCACAACGGTCGATTTCAAAAAAGAAATAAAAGATTTCCAAAGCAGATAGCTGGTGTAGACAATGCGTTTGTAGCAATAGAACCGAAGTCCGGCAAAGAAGTAATATGGAATGAAAGCATACTTCCGGAAAAGAAAACCGACAAAGAGGTATAACGATTCCCCAGCACATTTCTTAGAATAAATTTCTTTCTGTCATAAAGAAATTGAAAAAAAATGCGCATCCTTTTCTGGTCAGATTTTTGGACGCCTGGATAACAAAAAATGAGTCGGGGCCACGAAAACTTGTCTTTATTACTGAAAGGTTGGACGATGGAACCCTTAAGCAATTTCTATGTAATTCTGCTAGAAATAACAGAGTATTTACACTTTCTCATGATTGTTTTTAGTTGTGGAGGCGCCAGATAGGTCAGTTGCTATCCGTTTTGATGTTTTTGCATAACCTTGGTGTTACGCATGGAAACCTATCTAAGGAGACGATATTTTACCAAAATTCTGGTAACCTCAAGATGGGTCCATGTATGTTTATACTTTATTATATTCATATGTATAGTTGACCTTGAGGGGTTCTCTGATCAAAAATCTCAGTCGTCAGATATTCATGCTCTGGGAGTTGTTGCTCTTGAGGTATTCTTTTTTTTCTTATTTTGAGATTGCCGTTTGGACACCGGCAGATGATTCACTTCCTCTCCATGGATATGAGAAGGTGCAGAGGATGCTCTCAAAAATTGAAAACGAGGAACAACGTAATTTCATTGAAATATGTCTTGATCCGAACCCTGCTGCCAGAACTGTTATTAAACGTCTCATAAATCATCCCGCAGTTACTGAAGTTCCAACGCTTAAGTTACTTTCCGCAAAAGTTCTTGTTGAAGGAAGTATGTAAATTTTATTAGCTCTATTTATCTAATCTTAGTGACTGCAATGACTAATGATGACGCCACTGCTCCTGATCACCCCGCATTCGCCATCTTATTGAAGGATTACTTTAGTCACTTGGAAGATGAGACTGTCATCGTAGATGTTCATTACAAGCACGATGATTTGACCAATTCTCGATCTTGGAAAGATTTTCGTTCAAATTTTACTTTGACTCCTAAATATCTGGAAGACGTTAAGTGAGTCGCTTTGTCGTTGAATAATAAATCATTTTTT